GGCTATCAAAGGGGCGTTCGCAGTCGGCCGTCCCGCATTCTGGTAAACCAAATTTATGTGCAAATATAGTTATTTATTTGCTGGCACCTCCTGTGACTGCAGGACACACGCTAGCGGCATCGGAAGCCGAGCGGAGGGTTACAATCCTCCGCAGAAGGAGGGGAGGGTGTGCGGGGGAAAGTAAGAGGCGGCCAGATCCAAGTCCAGTGTTAGGAATTAAAGTAGTGGCTGAGCTCTTGGCAAACATGCCTGCGACTCCCTGGTTTCTCCCTGGCGGACATTCACGCTGTTTATCCCCGTGGCTGGCGAAGGAGCGCGGTCACTAAGATGCAGGGGGCACAAAAAATCTCCGTGAGAGGCTCAATTTACTCGAAATATCTTGTATTGAAAATAGACCTCAGCAAATGGTAGGGACGAGTGAGTAACTATTAAAATCGCGTGTAAATATTGTGCATGCGAAAGTGTGGTTCTAATTAGTTTTACATCCCAATGTGGGCTGTCTCTCTCCCTCTCTCTCTCGCTCTCCTTATTTCTTTTTCTTTTCATGTCTTCTCAACAGTTTAATCCGAAATCTTACGGAGTTCCTATTTTAACACCGCTCTCTCCCACATTCAAAATTACAAAGGCCCATAATGAAACTATTATCCCCCATTAGAGTACGAAAATCGTGGAACAGTTGCAAGATCTCAATGAACAAGGGGCCCGTTACTTTCTAACAATTTAAAAAATGCAAATAAAGCTCTCTCGGCTCTTTTTTTTTTTTTTTTCCCTCTCCCATTGTATAGACACTCCGTAATAGAAAAAAATAATTGTATTTCTTTCCTGGAAAGACGGAACTCCACGTCATTTGTATTTATTATTAAGAGTCAGCTGTGGTGAAATGTGATTGTAGAACTTCCTTTTTCCATTCAGAAAAAATAATCTTAGCTGCAGGAGTCCTGGATGTTTATATTTGAATTTGGGTTCTCAACTTCAGCAGCGGGTTTTATTTTTTTGGTTCCTCACCAAAACTAATAGCAAATGAATAACAATAACAATAGCGTTTAAAAGAACGTGACTGCATTTTTATTTCCCCTGTAAAATTCCGCATTTGTTCACTGCCAGTATCCAAGAGGCAGGAGAGGTTGTACAGAAAGTAAGAGGAGAAATACAGCAAATAATTAGACATTTTCCACGCGATCACGTTGCTGCTAATAACGCTGGGATATTCGACTCTTTTATCGCCGTTTTAGATCCATTTTCACCCAAAGTACATTTTTCATACGAGCCACGAAGTCGATTTCGCTTCGTCAATTTACTTTGCAAATGACTTAAGGTTTTAGTGACTTACATCTTCGGGGGCAAAAGACCTCAAACAGGGCAGAAACAGACATTGACATCAAAATGCTATATGAAACTAGAATTCACAGGAACGAAGCACTACTGGAGCGATCGTGTCCGAATAAAAGTACTCTCTGTCCTCCATCCCAACATAACCGAACTAGCAGAGCTCTCATTCCGCTAGCTCCGACCCCTGGCTGCATCAGAAGGGATCCCGTCAGTTTTTAAGCGAGGGGGCATCTGCAAGCGCTGCTTCATTAGCCACGCACCACGGAGGCTCGGAGCATACGCGGGCGCGGGGCAGGAATTCGCGGGTGCTGGCGATCTCTCCTGAACGGGAAGTTCAGGATCGCCTTTCCCCAGGGTTTCCTGCCACTGCAGACCTCTCTCACGGAACCAGTGGTGGTACGAAGCCACGGAGGGATTTTGGCACAGTGAATAGAAAAAATGATTCAGAATTTAGAGGAAGCAGTCAAAAAATCAGGATGAGGCTTTTAAAAAGGGAATCAAAAGGGCAGAGGCAAAAGACGCCATACAGGCACACACAGACACAGGCACTGTAAATATACTCCCCGAAATGTACACAGACCCTGCAGACCTTGTGTGTAGAGGCAAAGACAAGCACTTCAATTTGACTGCAATGCAGAGCTCTGCTCCTGCCCCGACAGGGGACAGCTGCTTTTCAGAGGATGGCTGAAATCCGCTATCCAAACTCATCTGAGCTCCTGCAGCCCAGGCTGAAGTTTCGAAAAACTTTTTAGATTTTACTATTGTTATTTTTTTAAGGCAAAAATAATCACGACCGCTAAAAAATAAATAGAAATAAATGAGCAACGAGTGAGTTTTCTGTCCGTTTCCCCTCCCTCCTTTCCTCCGCGAAAGGTGCCCCGCTCCGCGGCCGCGCCGGCGCTGGCTGCTGGCGGAGGGCCCGGCGGGAGCCCGCCCATTGCCCGCGGTCGCGCTGCGAACACAAAAGGCGGCGGTGGCGGCGACGGCAGCGGGCCCGGAGAGGTCGCTGTTGCCCGTTCCGCCGCCGCGGAGAGCCCGCACCGCAATCGTGATCGTAACCGAGGCCTTGCGGGCCGCGGGGCTGCCGGCGCCCCCGGGCAGCCCCGGCGTAGCGGGCCCGACGGCGGAGGCACGGAGCGGGCGGAGCCGAGAGCCAGGCTCCCGCGGCACCAGCCACCCCACCACGGGGGCCGAGAGCCGTCAGTGAGTCCGTCCGGCCGCGGGCGCTGCGCTCCGGGCCCTTGTTTTTGATGACGCCTGGAGCGGGGCAGGCAGATTTGATCTATCCCCACCCCCTCCCCCAGGCACGCTTTCAGGGCTCTTGGTTTTTAATAAATCCAGATTGAAAAATTAAACAGCCACCCACCTCCCCCCGGCCCCCGGAGCTCGACCCACGCCGAGCGGAATGCAAAAACGCACCTGACCTTGAATGCAGCCAACGAGATATATTAAAAACCCGCAAGCAGGCAGGGACTCGCTTAGGAGCTAGCTAACCTTGAAGAACTTGTCAAGCTTCCCCCCTCGGCTGCCGTGTTTATCTGAGGAATCAAAGGAGGCTCCGCTGCAGATGGGAAACAATGGCATTGGGACTTGACGCCTACAGTTCACTTCAGCGCTAAGATTTCTTCGAGTAGAAAGGACCCTCGCACCAAGCATACCTGGTGATGATATCAACTGAAGTAATTAAGGCAGTTTCGTGCTGTAGAGAGAAAGGTGGAGCCCCAACAACATGAAACTACCTAAACCACAGAGCAGTTCTCAGGCGCTAATTATTACTTTCCCCATTGCCGTGGTCCTTAACGCAAGGATCCCGCTACGAAAATAAAACCAGAAACGTGACTAAAACATCCCTCTCGCCCTCCCGCCCACCCCACCGGCGCCCCTCCGCGCCCCCCGGCCAGCCTCGGGTGGGTTAATGAAAACAAGAGTAAAATATAATAACAACCACCCACACACACGCGCGCGGGCAGCTTTCGCCTTTCCATGCAGATGTAATCGGGGAAAAAAGGGCCGTGCACGACAATGTTACATCACGAAAAGCTAACGGCTCCCAAGAAGCCCGGGTTCAAAGTCTGTCCCCCCCCCCTCCTCCCGGCATACATATACCCTTGCAAGGAAGCATTAGCTGACTCTTCTCTTCCAGCCTTCCTTTTGCCTTCCCTTTGTGCAAGACCCTATTAGCTAAACGTGCAGCAAGGAAGAGAGGATGCAGAAGGAAAAAAAAAAAAAAAAAAAAAAAAAAAGGTGAAAAAAAAAAAAAAAAGGAAAGGCAGCCTATGTGAAATAAGCTCTTCCACATGCAGCCAGGTAGGGAATAGCCTTGTCTGGAGGGGCCCGCTGGCAGGGAGGCGAGGCTGGGGTCCCCCCACCCCTCCCCATGAGCTCACCTTTACGATTTCTTCTCAGCCCTGAGATAAAGCTAGAATTTTGTCAACGTCCTCTGGAGTTAAAGATCTCCGCACACTTGTAGGTGTTCGATTAACCAAAAAAAAAGAAAAGAGAAAAAAGAAAAAAAAAAAAAGAAAAAAAATAGAATATATCGTTTCCCTACCCTCAAGAAATAGTAATCTGCTTCCTCAGTCTATGCAGTTCCTCGGTCAACTGAAACCACTCGTTCAAGACAGCAACAATCCAGATATACTAGCAAGTCATAAAACTGAACAAAAGCCGACAAACCTTAGAGCACCATCGCTATATGGCCCAGACAAATTACGACCGTCTAGGTAATATTTAAATAGATTCCTAAAGTAATTGCAGGGGGTTTAGGCAACTATTCCTGTTGTAAAAGTTCTCGAAGACATAAAGTAGAACCTGAGGATAAACAGTCACAAAAAGAGGTAAAATTAAAAGGATTCATTCCACTTTTTTTTATTCTTCTATGAGAACATAAACATCGTCTTTTTCACGCACAGCAGCATTACAATATTAATTTATTCTGATTTAAGGTAAGAACTAGATATAGCTAGAACTAACATTTATAATTACGATAGAATGCATTTGCTTAAAACAGTATCGGCATTTTAATAATAATAGACATTTATCCATATCTGTATTTATAGCTTTTCCCCTTCTTTTTTTTTTTTTTTTTAATCTTTTTAATTTTTTTCACCTATATGTTTGACTCTTTAATGCATGTAACTTCACAGTATAAAAGAAGACGAACATATTCTCCCTCGCAATCTCAGACTCTGGCTCAGAAAGTCCATCTGATGTTCAGGATATATATACTTTTCAGTGAAATTAGTGAGGAAAAAAGTGACTATTTTCTTATCAAGGGGGAATTTCTGTGTGCTTGTCATGCGTTACCAATGGTAACGTTATATATAGACACAAAAGAAAATCACCAAATTCACATATTTAAGCAAAACTACATTAAGTAAATATCTACAACCAGCGAGAGAAATTCAGAGGTAACTGTAATAATTTAGTCCATGAGTACAACGAACTCTTTTATACCTTTAAAGAGAAGATATTTCATTTTCCTGGCCAAATTTAAAGCTGTAATATTGACTTTTAAGGTAAAGTGTAAAAAAAAAAAAAAAAAAAAAAAGAAAAAAAAAAAAAAAAAAAAAAAAATCACTCCTAACACCCCTTCCCGTGAAATCCTTTTAAAGGATGCCTGCATTTCATTATTTTAAGTCCCGCTTTTCGAAGGAAAAAAGGGGGAGGGGGAAAAAAAGACAAACAGAGAAGGGGAAAGCTCCCAGTATATAGAAATATGGCAACGCTTAAGTTCTTCATTGTGCAGCTACGTACGGTCCAAGTTACAGCACTTATATTTTAAAAGAATGCACCTTTAACCAGGATTGTTTACTTTTCAGAGAGAGAGATAGGGGGAAACATATTTGCAGCTTCTGAAATGGTATTTTTCTGTATCAAAGCTTAGAGGAACAAATTGGCCCCGGGAAAGGCTGAAGGAAGAGGGGAGGTTCACACACGGCATTTTGTGCTTTAGCGTGACTTTAGTCCGCCCACCCCCCAAAGTAGCTCTTAAGAGGCTAAAGACATATTGAGAGCGCCTAAAATCGTTAATCCATACAGGTGCGGATGAATACAGCCTAGGAAAATGATACTGGCTCTTTAAACCATAAAGATGTGTTTATGGGTTCATCAAGAGAAATTAAAGTTGGCTGTGAGCTCCCGAATCCTATTCTCTCTGTTCATTTTCTTCAGTTTCATTCTGCGGTTCTGAAACCAGATTTTAACTTGTCTGTCTGTGAGGTGGACTGTGCGGCTGATCTCTAGGCGACGCTCACGAGTCAGGTACATATTGAATAGAAACTCCTTTTCCAGCTCGAGAGTTTGATGCTTGGTATAGGGGCATCGTTTCTTTCTGCCACTTTTTGCCGTGAGCCAGTTTGCTGCATTTTCTCCTTTTGAATTGCCTAGTTTTGAGAAAGTAAAAAATGGACATTACCATGGTGTAGGAGGCAAAGAGCTGTGGGGGAGAGGGTGGAAGGAGCATCTGTGCGTGTGCCTGTGTCTGTGTGTGCGATGGGCTCACTCCGCCAGCTGCAGAGAATTGGAATGTGGGGTATCCTTGAGGCAACCGAGAGCTTCAAAACGGTTTCCCAAAGGTTTTGGATATGTCCGGGTAAGAACTGCCACTGCTCAAAAACCTCCGGACAGCCTCTGGTGGGGCAGCGTGCCCTAGATTGTAGTTCATCTACGACCCTCCCAAACGAGCTCCTATCCTCTCCCTGTCAGCCATTCTGGTACTGGGGGCATTTGATGAAAGGCCTGCAGTCTTATTTCCTTCCCCCCAGGCACCTGCTTCCAAAAAAACAAAGCCTCCGGATCTGGGCTTGGTAAGTGTGCTACGGAGGTGGAAAACAAGGTGAGCTGGGGAGCCGGAGCCTCCCTGCCTTCAGCCCCTGCCTTTCCGGAGAGTTTCGCCATGGCCTTCTCTTTTCCAACCATTTCGGGGAAGAAAAAAATACAGTCATAACAATAATAAAAAATGTTTAGAGGTGATTTCTATCAGTGGAACTGGCTGGGAAAGAGGTAACACCAATCCCTTGATGGCTCAGAGCGGTTAGTGGTTTGGGGTTGGCTCACTAGCAGTTTTTCGCTGACCCTTTTTTTTTTTCCCCTCTAAATACTAGTTTCCAACGGGTCGCCTGAAAGGAATAACAGGGCGTCCGAAAGGCGGACGGAGAGAAGCTTCTGAAAAGCCTGCCGTCCGGGGAAGGGGAGTTATTTTTTTACCATGGGAACACGAAAGGGAAATAAATAAGGAAATATATAAATAACAGCTCTGTTATCTAGTGTAGATGCTGAAGGATATTCGCCGTGCATTCATCAGTCTAATTTGATAGCAGCTCATAGATGGCACATTTCAGCGCCGTTGTTATTCAGAAAAGCATTCTGGATCGTAAAATATAACTTACCGCGTTAATAGGTTTATTTATTGGCACTGCCTATTGCTTATTTTGGATGCTTTACAAACATCTCTGTTATCTGGTAGGCACCTTCACATCACGAGGGAGAGATTGATCTTGTTTTTCTATATGTTTTAGCAGCATGCAGGCTAACGTTGCCCATAGCGGAGGCTCTAAGGGTTTTAAACTATAGGATGGACATTAATTTTTACGGCAACCCCATGCCCGAATATTACAAAGTTCAGAAGGTCAGTCTGAGCAGCGCTTCTTGGCAGCCCAGCGGGGCAGCTGGGATCCTCCTTTCGCATCTCAATGCCGCTATGATCCTCAACGACTATTTTTTTCTTTCTTTTTTTTTTTTTTCCTTTTCTTTCTCTTTAATCATCACTACCACCATCACCATCATCATTCGCTTACCTACAGGCTCTTTCTCGGGAGAAGCTTTGCTGCTCTCTGACGGAGCTGGGGAGAGCTCCTCTGCGGTGGAAGATGAAGCTTGAGTCTCGTCCTCCCTCTGGGAGACGCACGCCAAGGGGCTTGGGGAGCGTTCCTCATCCTCCTTCCTCCCCGCGTCCGGGACGGGAGGCAAAGATGGAGGCGTCTGGAAGCGGCCGGGGGGCTGCGGAGGGAAAGGGGCAGCCCCGGCTGGCCCCGCGCCGTAGTTCTTGGAAGTGCCATAAGCCTGGGAGAGGCGGAAGTAGCCCGGGACGGGGACCCCGCCGCCGCTGCTGGCTGGGCTGACCTCGGCATTCAGCCGGGGGAAAGGAGCGAGGTCTGTGGCGGCCGAGCCCTTGGGGCATTTCTCTGAGTCATAGAGGCAGTAGGAGCTCTCCTCCTTAATGCTCGGAGCGAAGGAGCACGATGTGGCCTGCTGGCTGTCCGGCTCTTCCATGCGACAGGACCGGGGGGGATCTAGCCACACTTCCATCCCTGACACGTAGGAGTGCGAGCTGGGGACCATGCTTTGAGAAGTACCTTCATTGCGTTTGCCCAGAACGGGGAAAAGTCCGCAGCTTTGCAGCCCGTAGGACAGATCGGACGCCTGTGGCAGGTAGATACCACTGTTGGGATAGTAGCCGCCTCCGCCTCCGCCTCCGCCTCCTGCTCCCGCCGCTTCCCCTCTGCCCGAGCTGATCAGGGAGTCTACCAAAAAAGAGTTTGCAGCCGGGCTCTCGGAGCATGACATTGTTGTGGAATAATTTGGCGAAGGGAGCAGATAGCCCTTTCTGGCTGACATTTCTTGTGCAAAACATGCTGAATATGATGAGAGATACCCCCGCACCACGGCAGGCGCCCGCAGCCAATGGAAGCCCGGGCCTCCCCAGCAACCCCTCCCCGTCTGGTTTCGTATGCACAGAGCTGCTCTCAGGTCGACCTCTGAATTTGGAAGATAGATGTATATTAATGTGTAATATGGATTTCCATACACACAGGCGCGCGCGCTTCCACCACATGGGCGAGCGTCTGCGCCCAGGCGGGAGCCGTGCTCCCGGGAAGAAGAAGGGGAAGGGGGAACGGGAAAGAGGGAAGGGGGAAGGGGAAGAGGAAGGGGAAAGGGAAGAAGCGGGCTGAGCTGGTAATGGCTCCAAGTTTTGCTCCCCTCTTATCACACGCACCGCTATAAAATAGCCCGGCGGTCCTGATGTTTATTATACCTAGGCTGAAGCGGTGTCCAGATGAAGCTTTTACTATCGCTCCTTTCTCCCCGTGGTTGGACTTTCCAGCAGCAATGCCTGCTCACCTCCCTACGCAGCCTATGTGTCACACGAAATTAATAAAGCCACGGCTCGCCCGGTGTTTTATGCTCAGCCTCTGCTCATTTTATTTGATTGTCTCGTTTTTTTAAGAAATAAAAGACGTGTTATTGTTTATCACGGATCATTGGAAACCGTAAAGGGGCCTGGTGCCTCCCGCGTTAAACTACCGAGGAAGGGGGCTGCTTGCAGTCTAACATCACCGCCACGACGCCAGGCTGGGCTTAATTTTCCTGGAGATAAAATGCTCGCCGCTGCGCTGAGGAATCTCTTAGGGAGCAATACCACTCTGGGAGGATTGATTGTGCGGTTGCAGCTTCTAATGCTTTAGTTAACGCTGGATTCTTCCTGAGGTCTGATTACCATTTAAAATATAAACCCAGACATATGTCACAGAAAGAATCCAGACGCGAGCAGTTCAAATGGATCCTCGCAGGATGCTGTGCACCGTGTTTATTGATGTGTTTATATTTGGACGATCATTTTTATATCTCCCCTCCCTCCCGCTCCATTTGGGTCTTTTCACTTTTCGCCTTCAAAAGCATCGTCTCCGTTAAGCAATGTACTAAATAATAGAAATAAGAGTAGCTAGATAAATACCGAGATACTAGACAGCCCAGTCCAGTCAATATGTAATTGTGGCGGAGGTAGCAGACAGATAGCAGACAGGCAGGGACACAGGCAGAGAGATAGATTTCGTAATGAAATGCTTAATGATGACTTGCTTTCACTTCCATCATCTCTCGCTTATGCCATTTTGAAGTCGCCTCACTGCCTGGCCCGCGGAACTACGGGCACTTTAGTTCAAGGGGAGCCTGAGGCTGCCCAGCTCTCGCTGCCCATCCCTGAGGTGCATCACTCGCTCCTCTCGCCCGCACGCCGCCTGGTGAAGCAGCCCTCGGCGGGACAGGTCGGGCGGGTGAGAGCGGCCGCCGACCGGGCGTCATCGCCGCCCGGGACGAGAGCCGCTGCCGGACACCCGGCTGCCGTGTCCGGGAGGGCACCGGCGGCGGTGATGGAGCCGCTGCCTACGTGGAGGGGTGATGCCGGGGCAGGCTCAGCGCCCCGAATTCCCCGGCCACTACCCTCGGCCTTGAAAACACCCAGAGAGCGCTTCTTTCCCCTCACCCCACGGATCTGTCAAAACTCACGTGGTATTGTCCCGCAGTGTTTGCCTGCCACGGGAAAAAGCTTTTTTTCCGCAGCGTGATATTTCCCTGGAGGAATCCCTCCTTGCGGCAGGAGGGCAGTGTCCCTTCCCATGGGGCCCTCCCCAGCCTCCCTTCGCGCCCCCGGGGAGCACTAGGGCAGGCAGGGGATGCTGTAACTTTGAAACATCCATAAAATCTCTGTGGAAAGGCGCCTGATTTTTCCAGCGTGGTGGGGCGAGCATGACAGCGCGATTTCCTTCGGACCGGCCCGTGGGATGCGGTGACAGGGGTAGATCTCCTAGCCTATAGAAACCCTTCGAGGTTTTTTTCCTTCCCGCATTTCATCCTGTAACATTGTTCGCAATTTCCCAATCCTACTAACTTCGGATGTGTTAATGTGCGATGGACGAACCCTTATCAGATTCCTATGAGGGCCATATCATTACTAACGAAATTAATACCACATAAGGAACTAGTTTATTGGCTGGTATACAGGAAGGCTATTATCAATAGGCTTAGCTTCATAAATACAGATCTAAATAAAAAGAAACGTGAGCCCCAGTGCCGCCTTCCAAATACATTTCTCTACACAAGTCAGGTATAAAAATTTCTCTGGGGAAGTCCGCTCTTGCGGTATGTTTATTTTGCATTTGCCAAATTAAATAGAAAGGGATTGCAAATCTAAAAGCCGTACGGAACCGAGGAGAAACGCTTGAAATCCTTCCAAAGCTGTTTTTAAAATAAGCAGCTCCCTTTTAAAAATTGGATTAAAGTGAAGGAAAGTACTATAAAAAGTACGGTGCAATCCTCGTCAGCCGGAATAAAATGACTGGAAATGCATCGATGAGAGACGGCTTCTCCTCCATGTGCGATCTAATGCAGGGGAATCAGACAAAAGGCACAGAGGCCGGTGAGAATTTTTTGAAGGTATTCTTTAGCCTCCCCTTTTAGGTTTTGCAGCAGTGGGTTACCCCACCCCCGTGTCAGGTCCCGCGGGAGCTGCCGTGGGGTGTTGTGTTGACCGCAGTAAACGCTGCCGGTTTGATGGTCAAGGCACCGACTCCGTCTAGATCATGAACTCAGCTCGGCGTTGCATTATCTCCGCTTTCTTTAATCGCTAACAAGGCCAAGGCAAATAGTAACCAGCATCATCAAACCCAGCGAAGTAAAACTAATAATGTTCACTTGATTCGTAACTATAAAAGATAATGGTCAATTCTGACTAAACTGAGCTAATTTGGCATGCGCTGAGTGTAGCTACTGCATTACTAGCGCTTAACAATGTGTCCCTTGGAACTTAACCCCTATTTAAAAGAAATTTTAAAGAATATTGTGGACGCCAGGGGACGAGAATTACTTTCTTTTTAATTCTACTTCTGTAAGTAAAGCTATCCGAGGGTCTATAAAACTGAGCAAATAAAATTCTGATAAATATCAAAGCCGGCGAGTAGGTGTTTTCGTGGAGAATCTAAATTCATGGCGTACATAGACAATAATATCAAAATAAAATTTTATTGATCTAAGAAAAATATAATAGATGCATTAATAGCGTCGTTAAGCCGTTTTATTGGTTGAACTAAAATTAAAAACAAAAAGGGAATAAATAAAAACCGACAGCTCAGCCTAAGCAAACTCTGACTGGAAATCTCAAAACGTATCGTGTTAAACCGTGATTTATCTTTTTATTATTGGCCCGTATAACCCAAAAGATCAGCGCTGTTAATCCAGAGACGCATTTTGCGAGCTAATTAAAATATGCTTTTATTTGTAGACACGGGCAAGCTGCAATTTGTGAAAACGTAAACGGCCTTGCAGTCTGTGCAGGAGTGCATGCGCCGCCTATCTGAGAATACAGCCGTGGACTTCATTTTATACAGCTCCAAAAATTAATGCGATCAGACTATAGTTATTTAATATTGGAACTGTCAGTTCCCTGGAACGTGTGTGTGTGCCAGATTCATCTTTTTTATTTTTTTTTCCTTTTTTTCCCCCCTGGATTTGCTCCAAAGAAGGCGGATTTCAGACAGGAGGTTTAGGAACTGCGTCTGTGCCAAGTTAGGTGACAAATGACGGCCCCACTAATTTTATCTTTACTAGAAATTCTTTCACGCTGGTGGTGGTGCTGGGGAGTTTGGCTTGTTTTGGCGGATTATCTTGTTAAAAATTAGGCTGCGATTTAATTTTATTCCAGCCATCCGGAGGCTTGCTCTCCTAACTATGTTTTATATTATACATGTATCGTTTTACTCATTTGGATTAGGAACATATTTTGCAAGTAGTTCTGACGAGCTTCAAATGCTAGTGTGCGGCAGGACAAAATACACCCAAACCAATTCATTAGGGCTTTATTTCCTCGCCATTTTCCGGCACTGACGAGAACAACGGGGCTTTCTATTGTCCAGAGAGCCCCAAACACCATGCAGAAGCAACAACGGTATCGGGTTATATATTTGAGGGGAAAATATTGCATACCCAAGTCTGTCTTTTAAGTGTACCCCTTCTATTGCGAGAGATGGGCCGCATAGCTCTATCAAGCATTTGAAATTGTAGCCTTTCTCCCTTGTTGGAGCTGTCTTCCCTTTAAGAAGATCTGAATGCATATACAAATATATTTTTTGCTGTTGTTGTGGTATAGCTTGGCTGTCAGACACACACGTTGTCCAGAAGTTTCGATTTCAGAGCATTTAATGAAAAGACTGTGACCCCAAAAAAAAAGACAAAAAAAAAAGACAACAAAACACAAACCCAACGAGCTTATGAAAAAGCCTCCCAGGGGTTTGGATGTGGTATGTGAGCTGAAGTTGAGTACACGATTAATTAAACACAGCGTAGACACTGAGTTGGCTTCCCCTCTTCCCTCCAAAACATGCAAACCCAAATAATGTGAAATAATAAACAGTTATTGTAAGAAACAAGCTTGTTTTTTTAAAATATTATCCTATGACCGCGGCCGTCAGTAAACAATTCGTAACCAGAGGGCGCTTTAACTGCTGCTGGGGTCCCTTTGATTTATTCAGCCAAGTATTGAATGGGACAGGGAAACAACAAGGGGAAAAATAAATATTTGATCAAATATGCGGAGTTTAACTTGACTGGTGTAAAATGAAATGTTGCAAAGGGACCCTCAAATCTCCCTGCTTCTCACGTGGCTTCTCGCGTCCTGGCATTACTGAGAGGAAGTCAAAAGGGATCAACATGCCTGAGCTTTTAATGGAGCATCTTTGATGAAATCGATAGGTTCCAATAATCATCTGAAACTGCTCTCTGTCGACTGAGCATGTGCTTTTAACTGCACTTACAACAGTTCCCTGGAAGCACAATTAAAAAAAAAATACTGCAGGCAACTGGCATTATATACATAGAAGAGAAAGGATAAAAGAATATTTTTCATTTTTCCAGACAGATACTTAAAACTCTGTCCTAAGAAACACGTGTATTAAAATATGCAGCCAAACCAGCATCTCCTCCATGTAATACCACCTTCCCGCCCGCCCTTCTCAAATGGAGACATAAGAAAAACATGTGAAAATTTTATGGGCATGAAAAGTAACCTGGAGTTAGGGATACTCGTAGAGAGGATAGAGTTTCAAAGCTACAATCCAGAGCAGCCCTGAGCACATGAGAATGAGTGACTATTGTTTGTTTACAGCACATGTGCTGATAAAGAAAAGAAAGAAAGAAAGAAAGAAAGAAAGAAAGAAAGAAAGAAAGAAAGAAAGAAAGAAAGAAAGAAAGAATCGAAATCTAAATCTAGTCTTGCACGAACATTGACTTAATATGCAATCACATGAATAGTTTTTAGCATAGGTATGTCAAAAGTTGTTTACTACAATCTGTGTCCAGCTGCAAGGAAGCAGACTACCCTTTAAAGTTAGCAAACGACCCTAACTAAACTATAGTTCAAGATTAATAAGATCGTCAGAATTGTCTGTCATTTGCAGACTGTGTTGCCATAGATCTATTTGATTGAAGACACCTACTGTTCCACACATAAATGTCAAGTTTCATAATATTTCCAATGCTACACTTTTTTTTCCATTTTTTTTTAAATTTTTTTTTGTAAGTGGAAGAAAGCTAGAAGTTACCCTGAAAAAAATATTTCCAGATAACGTGGATTTTCCACGCGGCTGGCCAAAACGAAGAGAAAATAAAAGGTCAGCTGCAACTTAGAAAGTCCTTTCTATATTATTTCGCATCCTAATCACCAACTTTCTGCATCCCTTCCCCTCCCTACAGTTCTTTTCCGCGGTGCTCAGCGGTGGGGGCAAGGGCCACCCCACTTAGCAGGGTACCATTCCGGTCACCGCATACTCCTCGCCGCTCTCCACGCCGGGTAGATGTATAAAACACTTACCTTCGCGGATTTCCTAACCCAAAGCCCACAGGCTTTAACTTCACCGAGAAGCCCCAGCATCTCCCCCCTCCCCCGGCATCCCAAGCGGCTTTTTGTACAGCGGAGCCCGGTAAGTGCAATAATTACCCGTGTGGCTCCCGGGATGCAAAGTGAACAAAGGCCAAGATTCTTTTTTTTTTTTTTTTTTTTTTTTCCTTTGCAGGGCTGCTCCCCTTGCCCCGGGCGGCTTTGACATTGATCTGAAGATCGCCATCTTGTGGCAAAGCAGCCCCTAAACCGCGGCCGACGTCCGTCCGTCCGTCCGTCCGTCCGTCCGTCCGCCAGGGCCCCGCAGCAGGACGTGGGGCGGGCGGGCGGACGGACAGACTTCGGCGGAGAGCAATGGTCGCTCACCTCTCGGTGTAAAAACCTCTGGACGAAGCTCCGCTGCCTTATAGTGATGCGTTTGGTACAGGCGAGCGGACAAGTCACGGACAGTTTTTATGGCCGTAATGTCACAGCAACACAGAGGATGCGATTTTATTGGGCTAGGAAATCCAAACCCCGACCACAGAAACTCCATGTTTTTACTGTCTCTGGGATTGGCTCTGAATACCAGTTAATTTTTAACCAGGAAAGGAAGCTTGCAGGCTTAACTTTCATTGCCATTCAGCTCTCCATCCGTCTCTCTATCCCTCTCTCACCGTCCGTCCGTCCCTCTGTGTGTCTCCTTTTAACTGGCATTTCCCCTTGCATACTAGACAAACAAACAAACAAACAAAGTTCTCTCTTTCCCCCCTCGCTTTTCAACATTCCCTTTGGGTAAACGTTGTCCGGCTGGGTGGCAGTGGTCAACAAAGGCCTGAAGTCAGTAAGTCCTTCACCTCAAGGTTATGGGTGATGTCCAAGCAATACAGAAGTTCAAAGCCAGTAAACAATGCAAAAACAGAATCCACTTTCTTCTCCTGATTAGGATTAGGGTCAACATTCAAGATTCAAACACTCTTTTCAAAACACATTGCCATCTCAGCTATTGTTTGGAGTTTGGGGTTTTTCTCCCCCCTGCCCCCTCCAACTTTCTCCTTCCAGCTCTCCTCCCCCTGCTGCCCGCCTCAGTCCGCCCCCTCCCTGCCTTGGAGATCAAGGACAATTTCAATCAGTCCATTTCCACCACACCGCAGTGTGGATTTTTTTCCCCAAAGACAACAATTTTCTTAGGGCTCTCAAATTCTGGCCACATCCATCAGCTGGCTCGAGCCTTCCCTTTGGTGCCATCTTGTAAACCGTGTCCCAAATGCTACTGACAAACATTTCTCCTGGACATATGAGGCGGGGAGCAAACAGCAATGGCACATCCAACCCTTGAGCATAGGACCTTGCCCATCCAGTGCTGGCAGGATAAGCAGAAGGCCTAGCACGTAGCGAGCTATGAACACATTTAATTTTCCTTTTCCTGTGACGCCCTGAATCTATGCTCGAACAAGCCTAGGCTCACTTGTTAACTCCAGAGTAGAAGATTTAACGACGAAGTTCACAAGAGAAGAGTAATTCGCCCCAAAACGATCGAACAAGGTCATGAGGAATTTCGGGTCCCAGAGTTACATCGGATAAAAGAACATGCAGTAACATAACACCAGAGTAAAAATATAAAGTTTCCTTTTTTTCTTTTTTTATTTTCCTTGTGCGCTGTTCCACTGTATACATGCAACCAAATACTTTCGCATATTAAAAGAAAACTGTATATACATATAGATGATACATATTGAAAACAGTGACGTCATATAAAGATATTGCATGTTGTGAATTGTGACAAAGAAATTACATCCATTTGGTAAAATTTATTAATCAAAAACATTCTTATCACCACTTTGTTGCACATGTGAAGAAATCCCACACCCTTTAGCCCCAAAGGAACAATAAAAAAAAACACCAACAAAAAAACCCAAGTAGGGTTAAAAAAAAAAAAAAAGCATTCGAACAAAATAGGTCATGGGTTCTTTTTTTTTAATATTTACAAGTCTTGTAAAACACCGTTCTTGTATGAAATATACATTCAGATATTCTCGACAGCAAATTACCTTAACGATAGAACACCGTATCCTTTGTAAACTGATATAGAATTTTAAATATTTTCTTTTTTTTCCTATTTTTTTTTATTTTTTACTTTTTAAATTGCATTTTTTTTTTCACGCTTTGGTTCCTGCAGGGAAATATATATATTTATAGATATTTAAAATAAGTCCAAACAAATCTCCATTCTTTGCATACGTCGACTGGGCGACAAAGTAGAGCTCATGACATTTAAAGTAGACAACAACAAAATTACCATATTTACATTGTTTGGCTTCTGTTTAAACTCCTCACTGGTCACTTTTAAACGAACATGCAATCGAGTTATTTTAATCATCCAATGTTAGTACATTGCACAACTCCAAGTTTCAATTAAGTGTTGTGTGGTATTTGCTAAACTGTCGTTCTCCACAGGTATTTCCTGAAGAAAGTTCGTGAGCCAGAAGCCAGAAGGTTAGTTTCCTTTATGGAGTTGTTTCTTTTAAAATCCTGAAATTCACACTTTTTTGCCGATTCCCTTTTAGTATTTGTATATGATTTGTCTCCAAAAAGATGGCAACGCATAGTCTGTTGTCATAAATAAAACAGGAGCTAATTAAATTTTTCTAATTTTATTTTTAGTGATTGTTTCTTTACGATATATGGCGAATTTATACCTGATTTTTAAAAGTAAATAATTAACTCTTTAATTTAGGTCTTTTTTCTCTCTCTCCCATCCCTCCCCACACCCCTAAAGGAAACACTACTGTAACCATCATTACATCCATATTACAACTACTCGCGGTTGGCCCCGCGAAGGTGTAGACATGACATTCCCCCCTTTCTTTAATTCTCCGTGTGTGTGTGTATGTGTGTGTGTCTCCGTCCTTCGATTCTTATTTCAAACCCACGAGCAATGGAACGCTGCCTCTAACCCAGATATTTTCCTAAGGAAGAACAAAAGATTATTTCTTAGACTTTATATTCTGCAGTGGTCCTGGTTGGGTGAGCCCGACCTGGCAATCTCCAGACAGCTGTTCCACAGCAGCACAAGGGCGAGAAAGGGCCGAGGGTGGGCGAGTCCGGGGATGGAGAAGGACCGTCCACGCCCGTGCCTGCTGAAAGCGGTGGCAGGGTGAGCCGCAGTGCCTGGAAAGGTAAGAGGTATGGATTTTGCACTCAGAGGTGACGTGCACGTTTAGAAATGGATCCCATGTGTGTCAAAATCAAATCGATTCCAGTTGATATGTAAATATATATATAAAAAAATCATAATCGCAGTTCCAGAGTAGGTTTACATGTGTGTAAAACCTTTGATTCTTCTAGTCCCGTCAGATACACACCTCCTTCCTCCACGTAACCCCGTGGCTTGACCTTGTCAAGGGCGAAATCTGAATTTAATCTCGTCTTGAAAAACGCTACGAGTTTTAAAGTAGTGGATTAGCTGAGTAATATTGTAATCGGTCCCTGTTAATTTTTTTTTCTTTCATTCTTCTGTTCTGAAACCATATTTTGACTTGACGGTCGGTCAGATTGAGCATTCGGGAGAGCTGGAGGCGTTTCTCTTTGTTTATGTAGACACTGAAGAAGAATTCCCTTTCTAACTCTCTAATCTGGTATTTGGTGTATGGGCATCTCTTTTTACGCGTACGTTGTCCACCTGTGGAGCGAAAAAAGGCAGAAACATTTGAGACCCGGCTGTGGCCGGCGGCGGGGGCTGAGAAGGGACAGGGGGACTCTCAGGCAAAGCACGGTAACATGGAAAAGACGCGTTTTGCCCGCTCCGGGGTCGGCGTTGGTAGGTCCGGGGCTTGGCGCCAGCCCTCCGCCCTGGCGGGTGCGCGCAGCCGGGCCCGGGACCGGCCGGCACACCCCGGCTCCTGCAGCGCCGCGGCCCCGGGCAGCGTGCAGGGCGAAACCCCCGCCGAGACGCCGGGATCCGGCCTCGCTTCCTCCGCGGGGAGGGCAGCTGGAGGAAGGAGTGGTGGCAGGGGGTTCTTGCGGATTTCACGAGCCGGAGGAAAGCCTTTGTCGGCTGCTCCGCCGGGCGCCGCCACGCACGCGGAGCTGCCCAGGGAGCAGCCATCACCTGGCTGCCTGCAGCGGGCAGCGCTGCGGAGGGCGGGGGGGCCCGCGCCCAACCCTCCCCGAGCCCGTACCCGCTGGGATCTCGCCCTCGCTCCCTGGTCTAATCCCGTCCCTGCGTCCCGAGCAGAGGAAAAGCCCCTGAGCCCAAGGCTGGGGAGTCTCCTTCTCCCCCTAGCCGGCTATTTTCAAGCACGTTCTCCACCGCATCGAGGTATTCTCCTCTCGATTAGCCATTACGGTTTTAAAGTTCATTAAGCAGAATATAAAAGGTTTCAAGGTTCAGGAGCTCTTTACATTAAACGTAGCTGCTATCCCTTTAAAAACTTCCTTTTCTGGTACAGTTCATTGTCGAGGTATTTTTTCCCCCGGCCGTATACTAGCGTTGCCTTTTAAAAAGCCCACATAAAAAAATCAGACTTTGACAGATTGAATAACAATTGTAAGTAACAAACTGTTGGACAGAAGGCAACACGTAATTGCCACAGTGCCTTAGTAAAATGGCTTCCTTTAGACAAAAAGGCCAGCTTTAGGTTAATTTGCTTCTTTTAATATATTGCTACAGTTCAGGCGGCTACTTTATCTGTTAAACGCTATTCTAGCGCAATCGTTAAAACGGCGAAGGCTTTGAATTCAGCTCCTAACTAGACTTCTGGTGCAACACATGGCTTTTATAAAATCACTGGATTACATTGATATCAAAGGAGTCAGGATCTCCTTTTTGGCCGAATTTACAGGCACAGAACTAAAGTTATTATATTTTCAAGAGCTGACCAAGGAACTCTTTTCTTACGGTTATTTTTTAAAAAAGCAGGGAAAAAAAGAAAAAAAAAAAAAGAGAAGAAAAAGAAAAAAAAAATTAGGCATCCATTGCCCGGTGGGTATTTCACGGCCAATTTCAGCACTAAACACGTGATCTCGCCTTTTATAACAAAGTTTTGTTGGGGGAAATCTAAAGGCCCTTCATAAACCTTATATGCTTATAAAACAGCATATAAAAATTTAACAGCGGCGGTGCGCTAGATTTCAAGCTGCCTTTCCTAAAAGCGCTCCGGCGCTGCCTTTATACGTACTGGAACTGCCGGATTTCTCCTCATTGTTGCCGGAAGATGACTCGGGGCTGCTGCTGCTCTCCGGCCGCCTCCTCCTCTCCTTCTCCGCCGCCGTCGCCGCCGCCCTGCCGCAGCCGCCCTCCGAACTTGAAGTTGCCGCCGCCGCCGCCCCGGCGGCCGCGGGCGCTTTCTCGCCACTCTTGTCTACCGGGTAGTCCGCTGAGGCCAGGTTTTCCGCCGTGCCATAAGCCGTCTCGAAAAATTGGTCGAAAGCCTGGGGCAGGACCCCGTTCCTGCCCACCGTGCTATAGAAATTGGAGGAGACGTTGGTGCTGGGGTGGTAGACGTTAGCTGTGTTTTTGCCGAACATCTCGCCCATGCTAGCAGTGTTGGTGGCAGGCAGGCAGTCTCTGTGCATGATCTCCTCTGCGGAGTAGCAGTGGGGCAGATTGTTCCTGGGGTGCCATTTACTGGAGGGATCAATGGCATATTCCCTGAAGGTAACTTCTCTCACAGGTTGGACCTGGGGTAGGTTGGAGGAGTAGGAGTATGTCATAGGGCGAGAAGACGGGGTTTGGGGCAAAAAAGAAGGGAGGCTGGAAAAATCAGGACCCGAGACGTAGTAAGTACAACTTGGCAAATACATGTTAGAGGAACAAGGAACACGCTCATCAAAATCCATCATTAGGGCTACCTCGGCTTCTCCGCATTAGCTGAGCTTAACATGATTCTCTAACGCAGCTGCCCCTTTGAAGCGGATCCGTGAAGTAAGAGATGGGGAGACGTAGGCTGACGTGGAGAGCTCTCCCGGCGGCGGCAGGGAGGTGCGGTCACGTGGCCCGACGTTGACATTGACGAGCGGCGGGCCCGGGCCCCGCTCCCTTTGTGGCCGTCGCGGGGGAAAGCAACAGCTCGTCGCCAGCGCCCAGGGGCGAGCCGAGCGCAGGTTGGCCGGGGGGGAGCCCTGGGGGACACACAGCCGCCCTGCCACTGCCCCAGACTTAGCCGCCCGGTCCCTGGCACCCTCTGGCTCTGGAGCAGAGAGGCTTATCAATTTCCCCCAGGGTTAGGTGAGACCTTTCTGTTTGTTTGTGGGCTTGCTGGGGCGTTCGGCGGCTCGCCGGCAAAGCTCCGAGAAGGAGGGCACCGCAGAGATGCACGCACGCTTTCTTGTGGAAAGCTGCTTCCGAGGAGGAAAACGCTCCTGAAGAAAATGTCTTTTAATT